CGGCAGTTCCAGGTACTATCATTCTTATGTGAGAGAAGATGAGACAATAAAACACGGAGATGGAATGATGACGGGAGCAGAACATGGAGTCCGGCCAGTACGGTGTTCATAGATCCTCGGGGGAGGGGTCACATTACAAGAATGGAGTGGTGATTGGTTTGGAGACAGATTCACCCATAATGAATGGCAGCATCTAAGAAGTGAGGCGGGTGAATCTGTCCCGGGAATTGAGGGCTGGTTGTTCTTCCAGGCCGAGGTTCTCTGACAATCACGTTCCTGCCGAGCGGCGGAAACATCCGGAAGATTATTGATTAACCTATTGTAGGTCACTGGGGGTGTCGGCAGCTGAAGTGGATCCAACGGAGTCGGAGGTGAAGGCGGTGAGCGCTCCGCGTCAGGAAACGTTCCGCATCAATGGCTGCCCAGAGCGTGTGAGGACACGTAAGGGAGGATGGGCAACGAGACGCAACACACGGATGATCCTCCTACAGAGAGTTAGATAAGACGAGAGAGGAAACATCTGCCGCCTACACGTGTACATGTCTCCATCCACCAGAGATTACACGTCAGATTACATGCGGTATTCACCATAAGCCCTCAGCACCATGGTAACCGAACAAGCTTCATCTTCCCATGGTCATGGGCCCACTTCAGGTCCATTTGTTGGTCATGTCTAGGTGATGGTCCCATGTTAGACCCACATCAGGTCCATTTGTTGGTCATGTCTAGGTGATGGTCCCATGTTAGACCCACATCAGGTCCATTTGTTGGTGATGTCTAGGTGATGGTCCCATGTTAGACCCACATCAGGTCCATTTTTTTTTGTCACGTAAGGGAGGATGGGCAACGAGACGCAACACACGGATGATCCTCCTACAGAGAGTTAGATAAGACGAGAGAGGAAACATCTGCCGCCTACACGTGTACATGTCTCCATCCACCAGAGATTACACGTCAGATTACATGCGGTATTCACCATAAGCCCTCAGCACCATGGTAACCGAACAAGCTTCATCTTCCCATGGTCATGGGCCCACTTCAGGTCCATTTGTTGGTCATGTCTAGGTGATGGTCCCATGTTAGACCCACATCAGGTCCATTTGTTGGTCATGTCTAGGTGATGGTCCCATGTTAGACCCACATCAGGTCCATTTGTTGGTCATGTCTAGGTGATGGTCCCATGTTAGACCCACATCAGGTCCATTTGTTGTTGGTCATGTCTAGGTTATGGTCCCATGTTAGACCCACATCAGGTCCATTTGTTGTCGGTCAGTCCTGGGCGATGGGTCTATGTGAGGACCGTATGTGGGACAATCATATATCTATCTGCTGTATAATGGCTGCTGGTGTGCGTCGGGTCTCTTGGTTAGTCATTGACCATCGGTGGGAGGGGGGGAGGGGGTGATCTTGTTTATGAGTTAGTCCTTACATTTGTTGGTCACCAGATGTTTATCTGCATGACGTGATCCTCTGATAGTCGCTTTGTCTTGTGTCCGCAGGTCCTGGTCTGGTCCCTGTTCCTGGGACTTCTGTCCTACCTGAAGGTGGTGATAGGAAGCCTCCTGCACGAAGCGGGCCACAGCGCCCTCCTGTGGTGTGGAGCAGTCATCCAGGCCGGCTCTCTGATTGGCGCCATACTGATGTTCCCGATGGTCAGCGTCTATCACTTGTTCCACAGCGGAAGGGACTGTCAGGACAACTGCGGCCTCTGAGGACGACCGTTCCTCGCGCCACCTCTCGCGTCACCTCTCCGTATCTTTTATATTAAACACAAACCTTTTACAGTAACCCCGCCGGCCTCCATTTCTCTGTATGTAATACACATGGATATGAAACACGCTACATGCGTGTTAGGGATACTCCGGTACTTTTACAGGGCTATTCCCAGAAGGGGGAGGGGTTTGGAGGAGGGAACAATCTAGGACAACTTGGGGGAACTGGACAGTGAGATGAATTGGAGATTTTTTCCACATCAGCCATGTTGTCCTAGGTTGTCTCCTCCGTCCTCCTCCAAACCCCTCCCCCTCCTGTGAATGACCCTGTATATGTTTTGGCTGTTTGGTGCCTTCACATGCGACCCGTGCCATCAGACTTGTGTGATTTCCGGAGGACCTACGGGGCATCTCAGACCTCTCTAGGTGACCTTGGTTGGTCTGGAATACTTCAGCCCGTAGATGACTGTCCTCCAGATGACCATCATGTTCAGAAGGTTTCAGGCTCCTCAGGCCGGAGGCCGGAGGGTCTGGTGGAGGGTCTCTGGGTGAGAAGAAGGCCGGAGGATCTGGCTCCACAGTCACATCGTTTCTTCTGGTCTGAGTTCTGTTGCTTGCTCCTGAACCTTGACCTTCAGAAACCCACTCAGCAGAATGGTGGGTCCACCACTAGGGATCAGAGGGCCTCTCGCCATGACAGAAATGGAGGAGCCCTCCAAGGGGAAGAAGAGGGGAATGTATTGGGACATGAAGAGCACGAGGATGAATGTATCTCCGTACGCCTGGTGGG